GTACACCAGTGTTGTCCAACCCTTATAACCGAAGGGCCACATGTAGTTCACGAATTTTTACGCGGGCAACTTGACATGGTAAATATGTTTTTGTTTTTACTACACCGACTACAGGTTGATGAAAAAAACGAACAAAACCATCGCACCGAAATTACAACAACAATGAAAATACAAAAATACAGTAAAGTCCAAAGTTTTGACCACACCCAAATATTTCAATGTGAAGTATGGTATGGCACTGCTTTTACTCAGCAAGTTTGTTAATATTCGATGCGATGGACGATGTAGCAATGCAAAGCGAATTTTTTATATGACTGTCAGAAATTAGTGATCTCATTAGGGAATTGACATGGTTCATCCGTGAAAAAGCTCACTCGTACAAGTAAGTGTTGTTAAATATTGAGGTAATGAAATTGTCTCTTCTAGATTCACAGAAGGAGGACAGGAAAACAGATTGAAATACATTACAGACAATAAAAATATATTCAAAATTTATAGGTTTTCTGCTCTCACAGGGATAAATATCTAAATCTTATCCATATTTAAAAAATTCTGGTAGAAATGTTACTCACTTGCTCCATCTGGTGCCGATGCTCCTTCAGACTCATCAAAGTAGAACGGTTGAGCCTTAGATGACGCTTCCCCTTCTTCTACGAATCGTTCAGCTAACGAGAGAAGTCAAACAAGAAATTAAAACCTTAACTACACAGCTAGGTCTTGATCGCAAAACACCCCACACCAAAAATTGATATGGGCTATATATATATAAATATTGAGAAAATTAAATGAGAAGTGGTCACTTTTTACATTTTCCACGTTGTACATTTTTAACGCAATTCCGAATTTTCGTTTTTATATATTTAATGGGTTGGCCAGAGTCCAAGTTTGGCATTTTTGTGATATTTGCTTTGGTGCTGCAGTTGTATATTTAAACTGGATTCAGCTCAGAGATTGAGTTGGTGTATTTTTTGGAAGACGCAGTAATATGTAAATGTTTCCAGTCCTACTCTGGAATATTATAAACCAGCGCTTAATAAACCACAACACATATTTCTATGACAACAATGATGTCATAGTACCGTAATATTCTAGATGACCGTTGAGAGAGTAAATAGATAGCGCTAAAGAGGAGATCCAACATAACAATTGCAAAAGTTGTAAATTAGTTGGAAAGCGAGCATAAGAAATTTAAGGAACATTCAAATGCGTCTGCAGAATGGTATTTACTTGACAATAATATAAGGATATCAAGCATCGCTATATTTTTAAAATTCTATTCAGAGATATGATTTTTCCACCAATGAGTTATTGCTTGTGCACCCAGTAAATCATCTTGTATTACCTTGAGAGAATCCATGTTGTTCGTTGTTTGTTCCAGGCTCAACGGACGATGACGCACTATTTTGATTTCCCTGCGATGAAACGATCGTTTCAGCATCAGTTAGAGATGAATCTGACAAAGAAAGTTATTCATAAGGATTGTGAATGCATGAAATTCAAGAAATATTCAGCAAATATCAGTCAGAATAAGATAAGGAATTTTCAACAAGTGGGCAATGGCCGACTCCTGGGCCACAGGACATTTTCAAGTGGGCCACAGACCCATTTGAGCTAGAGCAGAAATGGGCAAGGTTTTTAGACCAGGGCCCACCAATTTTGTCCACCTCCACCGACGGGCCATGTAAGTGCGACTTAAAACAGAAATTTTATTAACAAATTTTGCAGTGTTACAAAAACAAAAGTGGAAATCAATAAACCTCGTGCCAAAACAAATTTAATCGCAATATCAACAAATTTTTTGAGATATTTTTTAGCTAAAACACCAAAATTTGGTTTTCGTTTGGTTGTGGCAGCATCAGGCGAGCCAGATTGAATTACCGAACGGGCCGGACTAGGCCTGCGGGCCATAGTTTATTCATGTCAGACTTGAATGACGATGGTATTTATGCTACTGAGTGGTAATTCTCATTTCAGTTATGAAAGTGCAAATGTCTATCATTTCGAGAAGCATTTATTTGTTCTCCTGTAGTTTTTCAACTGCAAGGTAATCAACCACTTCTGTGCGGCATGCAAGAAAAAAGGTTGACTGTTCTTAGTTTAACAATAGTGTCAATATTTTATGTATTTGATTATAATTAAACATGATCTTTATACAGATTCGTATTCGAATCTAAACTTGCGGAATCCCTAGAATGTCAAGTTGAAACAACGCATCCCGTTTGAAAATCATTTATCTGGGTGTTTCAAAAACTCTTTTTGCTTGTTATTTTGGTGAGCCAACTGCCGCGGAGCAGATATCACCCACCTGAAGTTGCCCAATTTCAAAGCCCATAGAGCAGGGGTTCTCAAACTTTTTAACCCCCCGCCCCCTCTTTTTAGAATTGGTCAAGACTCCCGCCACACTTAAAAAATAACTTGCTAAAAATAAGCTACAAAAACATATAGTGAGGTGGAAGTTTGTAAATATCCAGAATAAGGCGAACAAGATCAAATTCACCAAATATTTCACGGCCCCTAAAAATTGTCTACGTCCCACCGTTTGAGAACCACTGCCATAGAGGGCCATAACACAAAGCTCGGAGACGGTTTCTCAATACTTACCCATAATGAAGGATGATTCTCATTTCTCGAAGTGGCTAAATCTTTGTAGAATAATAAAATATAGGAAACTGAAAAAAAAATAGTTGATTAGAAATTGAGCATGACACGCAAATAAATGAATTCGACAGTCAATACATGCTCAGGCATTCGCGCGGAGAACACGCCGAACACAGAACTTCACCTTCGCAAGAGAAGGGAAAGAAGCTATCGCTTAGCCTTGCAGTGATAACGGCACAGGGTAAACTTCAACGCAGCGACAAAAGCAAAAACATTACTTATTTTTACACGTGTTAGCGTCTTTTTGAGCACAAACCGTCGGATTTAATTCTTGATGGTGAAAAATTTGAGTGTTGACAAGGGCCACACTGAATGGCTTGCGGCCCGTGGGCTTTTGGTATAGATAATGCAAATTACTTTCACTACACTTTGAAGGAATCTAACTTTTGCTTGGAATGGTGCAAATAAGCCTGATCTAATCTTCCACTGCAATTCCAACATTGACTCATATAAATTGACTAAAGCTAAAACAAACAAAAGAGAGAAGAGAGACAAATAATCAGCATAACACTAAAATAATTGATAAAAACAAAGGCGCTCCTGTAGTATTTTAACCAAGATGACGCACAACCTGAACATAGTATTGTACCAGGTTAGGGTTGGCAGGTTGTGCGCCATCTTGGTACGAATACGAATCCTTTGTTTTTATCAATCATTTTATTGTTATGCTGATTATTTGTCTTTCCGATTATGGAGTCAAAATAAACTTATACCTTCACAAAAGAGATTTAAAATAATATGACTGATCGTATTGACTGTTTCTAGCAAGTTATGTCATCTGGACAATTCTAACTAAGGCACATTTCCATACTATATTATTTATCTATGTTTTATCGATATTGGGTTATTGGTATATTTATTGAAAACCTAAAAGGTTGTTTATCTGTTATATTAAATTAACACCTATTCCCTATATCGCTTTATACCGAAGTCCATATCTCAAAAGTCCAATATACAACTACTCAGTAAGCCAGCCAGCTACAACTAACGAATCACGCCGCAACAAGGAAGTCGTTGAACCAAGGTATATATGGGCTTTGGTTGAAACTAGCAATATCACGTGACGGCCGCGATCAATTTAGACTATTATTGAGACAAGCATAGCGGGATATGACGCACCTGACGTCAGACGCAACCGATTATTACATTGTGCCTCATATTACTATATGAACGTTAGCTTGGCTGTTGTAAATCAACTTTGAGTTTTGAGTCTCCAGTCCAGTAACCAAGTCTATTATCTGTAACTGTCAGAATAATAATTCCCTAGGTCTAGCGCAGTGGTTATCAACCACTGATTCTGTGGCTCACTAACATTTTCATGTTGGGGAAAAACTTCAAGAAAAACATAGAATTCTTTCTGCAAAATAGACACTTTCAGTTTTATAATAATTAGGTGAAAATTACCACCCTGTAACAAAAAACAGCATAGTCAATTGCTACTACCATCAAATTTACCTAACATTATCAACAACTCTAGCAATTTTGAATAGGTCTGTGGCCAACCTAAAAATGTTTTTGTGGCCTAGCAGTGGGCCATATGTGATTTAGAATTTATAAGCATCATATACAGCCGCGCCCCCTCCTCAACTTGTGCATTCCAGTCATAACCAGCAAATTTCCTACGGGGCTCACAAACCAAAATTATATAGTTATACGCCCAAGAAACATAAAAAGTATCTGGATTGAATAAAATATTGAAACACACTTTGTAAGACCAAAAATTATATTTTCGATTTTAGAAAACTAATTTCCCACCCTTGGTTTAGCCATATGTAATCTATAATCATCATATACCATCATCCCAACTTGTGCATACCAGAAACAGGCATATTTACTAAGTGGGCTTACACTTCAGGCAAAACATTTATTTATACGCTCTGAGGCCCAGGAAACACAGAGATATTTAAATCATGGAATACACTTCGTTATTTGAAATTATATTTTCGATTTTAGAAATAATTAAGAAATTGTGTGAAGAAGGTTCATAGAATATGTCACGACTTATAAATTGAAGGCGGTTTCTCTGCAATGCAAGATCTATGCAATGTGGAAAAACTCTGTTGTTGTTGGTTGAACATGGAAAAATTTAGAAAACAAGTAAAACTGCAGATTAGTTCAAAATCCCTAAACAACAATAATTATTTAAATGTTATTATTTAAATGAGCACACAAATAAGATTAAACGTAATAGAGATAAAATAAAATTGGTACTACCGAAGTATGTGAACCGAGATGGCGGACACCGGAACGTGGTATGCGCACCAGGTTAGGATTAAGCCATAATTTTATTCCAATTTTACTTATTTTAATAATATTACGAGTTCGGGGACTAGCCAAGTGACTCCCGTAGTATTTGTACCTGAAATTATGGCCTGACCCTAACCTGGTACACATACTACGTCCCGGTGTCCGCCACCTTGGTTCACATACCTTGGGAGTACCCAAAATCTTATATCAGTTACTGCACTTTTAAGCAAATTATGTGGGATTCGTATCTGTGAGCGATTATGTCACCAAAAATTGCGCAACTTGTGGCGGTTCCGCTCTCGCGATAGTCGTGAAGATTGTGTACCGATTGTCTACTGTGACAGATCGCATACACGTACTACTTTGTTTTGGCCTTCGTGTCCGTATTTGAGCATCACTCATTTGAATAGTCAAGAGGAAACCGAGATCTTGGTTTGGGTGACGTTGTCTCACTCAATGGCACACTCAGGTGTTCGAGTACCGCAGCATTTTCAACTAGAATTTTTGGTCAACTACCGAATTGTTATTTTTCCAGTAATAGATGTTAAATTTGACATCTATGTGTTTTCTGTTAAATATGAATTCAGAAAGTTCGATATTATTTTTCCGAACTTGTTCAAGATCAAATTAATCCTGTTCCCAGAATTAAGTCGTAGTCCATATTCTTAGGTGCGGAATATTTTGAAGTCTTATGGTCGTTCAATTCATGACTGTCATGTCCTTCTTTGAAACACCGGAGGCAGTAAAGATCTCCTTCGGAGCCGTAACACCTCAGTGATGCGTCCTCGTTACACCATGGCAGATCACTGGATTCCTTCTCAGAAGGTTTGAAACCTGTATCGAAAGAGAAATGTTGGAAAAGTGAAAATTTGACAAATGTTAAGTTTACAGGATAGGTTTTCTGGTTAACACGACATTCAAATCCTGTAGTCCATATTAATATATCTATTACGTCTGCCACTATTATTAAGCTTGCCAATAAGCATTTTGTTTTTTTAGTTTGAGGTTTTACTTATATATATATATATATGAGCTAAGTACCATGCACTAACAATGGCGTGACGTTGTGGCTCATCGGGCTAAGCGTTAGGAATTCGCTTGCCACCGCAACTATGATTACTCTGCGTGGGTTCGCAGGATCGAATCCTATGCGGTGATGGTTATGTGCGAGCGGAGTGATGGCCGTTGTAGGGTGTTACCACGTAACCGCTGGTCGATTACGGCTTCCTCCTCCATCAAATCCATGCATCTGGAAACAAATAACTAATCCCATACCTGACATGGACTGGTAACTGGATGACTCGGTTCTCCAGGTGGTTGAGTCGTCTTATCGGCTTTCCTCAACCCCTGGATAAATACGTAAATCCTATCCTATCATATATCTATACTATCATAACTCACCTGTAACCGCCACGTTCATGTCATACTGCTCTGTGCTGCCACCTAGTCTATTAGCAAGGGAAACTTCTAATCTGGCTTCCGCCGTCAGTCGCTCAATTATTTCTAATTCCTCTTCGTCCGAAAGGTCATTAAAGTACGAGGTTTCGATATCGGTGCACATAAATCTGAAAGATTTGCAAAGTTAGTAAGCAAACACAAACAGGGAAATCCCCCTTTCAGAATCATTTTTAGGCTTTGATTCACTCACCAATCTGAGGTGACATTCCTTGCAATGTTTTCAATCTTCTTTCCAAATTTCATTGATTTCTTCCGTTTTTTGCTGTCTATTCAGTTCTTCTTGCGCGAGGAGAATCATTGAATCAGCAGTCACAGCTGAAAATAAGTGAAACCTTTGTGAAGGGATTTCCTCATGGAGAGGAAAAATGATATGATGATTTGAGCCAATCAGTGTCGATTAAAATGAACCCAGAATCGGGGGTCAAGTCAACCACTGAGTCGTGGTATGACAGCCTGGCGAAGGGCTAACTTTTTAGATGTACAAATTTTCTGCAGAACACCAAATTATCCTGATAACTAATAATCTTCATCAGTTTCAGCGTAGGAATGAAATTACAACAAGACCAATTTATGGCTTATGACTTGAGCTGTATAAACCGTAACAAAAAATTCTAATTCATTACTAGGGAGAACAAAAGTAAGCTGGAATACCAATGAGAATTATTTAAAACTGACTGTTCGTAGCCGTTAATAGCAATGCAATATTAATATGTTATATGAGCTTGTTTAGATGAGCACAAATCCTCTGTTTCGATTGGATTCAGAGCAGTGGTTCCCAAACTTTTTGGAGTTGGAACCCACTATTTATTACCACATCTTATGGCGACCCATTTAACTTTTATGACATAACACAGAACACAGTAATGGCTAATCATCGTAAAACTACCGTGTTTCCTCGATGATTTTAAATAAACCCTAACCTTAAAATAAATTTAAAATGTGTGGGAGTGGTAAGGTGGAGATCACACCACTATTCAAGATTGTGTGATATCACAATTATGATATTTGTCACCTGATTTTTGTATAGGAAATACAAATAAAAACAATAGACCTAAGTGACATAAGAGTCTTGCTGCACACTAACACAAATATATTTCAGTAACGTTTCGTAGTTTCTATTATGTCTGAAGAAGTCTGACCATGGTCAGACGAAACGTTACAGAAATATATTTGTGTTAGTGTGCAGCAAGACTCTTGAATCACTTATGATTGTTATCTCTACTCTTGCTACAGCATCCTTGCATTATATGCATACGGATTCACAAAAGCATAGAAGAAGGAGGAGTAGTAAGACTCGCAAAAACCAAATAATCAAATACAATAGATGTCGGTTTTTATATAATGTTTATTAAAAAATGTCGTGATTTTCCACAATGTAATTTTATTTTTGATAAATGAACACAAAAGAGCTCTTCCAAAAAAGAGCCATAGTGTTATTCTTCAAAAAAAATAAATCTAAATCATATCTAAATTTTGGGGAAATACGATAAGGAGTGCTGTACAATGTACAAAACTGCTATGCGTAAAAAAAAAACATGTTCGTGTGGCAAATTTATGGAAAAAGACTTTATGGACACCCTATATATTTGATAAACTAAAAAAGACTTTATGGACACCCTATATAGTTGATAAACCAAAAAAGTCTTTATGGACACCCTATATATTTGATAAACCAAAAAAGGCTTTATGGACACCCTATATATTTGATAAACCAAAAAAGACTTTATGGACACCCTATATATTTGATAAACTAAAAAAGACTTTATGGACACCCTATATATTTGATAAACCAAAAAAGACTTTATGGACACCCTATATATTTGATAAACCAAAAAAGACTTTATGGACACCCTATATATTTGATAAACCAAAAAGACTTTATGGACACCCTATATATTTGATAAACTAAAAAAGACTTTATGGACACCCTATATATTTGATAAACCAAAAAAGACTTTATGGACACCCTATATATTTGATAAACCAAAAAGACTTTATGGACACCCTATATATTTGATAAACCAAAAAAGACTTTATGGACACCCTGTATATTTGATAAACCAAAAAAGACTTTATGGACACCCTGTATATTTGATAAACCAAAAAAGACTTTATGGACACCCTATATATTTGATAAACCAAAAAAGGCTTTATTGACACCCTATATATTTGATAAACCAAAAAAGACTTTATGGACACCCTATATATTTGATAAACTAAAAAAGACTTTATGGACACCCTATATATTTGATAAACTAAAAAAGACTTTATGGACACCCTATATATTTGATAAACCAAAAAAGACTTTATGGACACCCTATATATTTGATAAACCAAAAAAGACTTTATGAACACCCTATATATTCGATAAACCGAAAAAGTCTTTATGGACATCCTATATATTTGATAAACCAAAAAAGACTTTATGGACACCCTATATATTTGATAAACTAAAAAAGACTTTATGGACACCCTGTATATTTGATAAACCAAAAAAGACTTTATGGACACCCTATATATTTGATAAACTAAAAAAGACTTTATGGACACCCTATATATTTGATAAACCAAAAAAGACTTTATGGACACCCTATATATTTGATAAACTAAAAAAGACTTTATGGACACCCTATATATTTGATAAACCAAAAAAGACTTTATGGACACCCTATATATTTGATAAACCAAAAAAGACTTTATGGACACCCTATATATTTGATAAACCAAAAAAGACTTTATGGACACCCTATATATTTGATAAACTAAAAAGACTTTATGGACACCCTATATATTTGATAAACCAAAAAAGACTTTATGGACACCCTATATATTTGATAAACCAAAAAAGACTTTATGGACACCCTATATATTTGATAAACCAAAAAAGACTTTATGGACACCCTATATATTTGATAAACTAAAAAAGACTTTATGGACACCCTATATATTTGATAAACCAAAAAAGACTTTATGGACACCCTATATATTTGATAAACCAAAAAAGACTTTATGAACACCCTATATATTCGATAAACCGAAAAAGACTTTATGGACACCCTATATATTTGATAAACCAAAAAAGACTTTATGGACACCCTATATATTTGATAAACCGAAAAAGGCTTTATGGACACCCTGTATATTTGATAAACCAAAAAAGACTTTGTGGACACCCTATATATTTGATAAACCAAAAAGGCTTTATGGACACCTTGTATATTTGATAAACCAAAAAAGACTTTGTGGACACCCTGTATATTTGATAAACCAAAAAAGTCTTTATGGACATCCTATATATTTGATAAACCAAAAAAGACTTTGTGGACACCCTGAATATTTGATAAACCAAAAAAGTCTTTATAGACACCCTATATATTTGATAAACCAAAAAAGGCTTTATGGACACCCTATATATTTGATAAACCAAAAAAGGCTTTATGGACACCCTATATATTCGATAAACCAAAAAGGCTTTATGGACACCCTGTATATTTTGATAAACCAAAAAGTCTTTATGGACACCCTATATATTTGATTAAACCAAAAAGGCTTTATGGACACCCTATATATTTGATAAACCAAAAAAGTCTTTATGGACACCCTGTATATTTGATAAACCAAAAAAGGCTTTATGGACACCCTATATATTTGATAAACCAAAAAAGTCTTTATGGACACCCTATATATTTGATAAACCAAAAAAGGCTTTATGGACACCCTATATATTCGATAAACCAAAAAAGGCTTTGTGGACACCCTATATATTTGATAAACCAAAAAGGCTTTATGGACACCCTATATATTTGATAAACCAAAAAAGGCTTTATGGACACCCTATATATTCGATAAACCAAAAAAAAGGACTTTCACAATAAGACTATGATATCTTCCTCCCACAAGGGAATTCCCCATCCTACATAGATGCCCCACATACATTTTCTTTCTGAGTTCTCTATAAAGCACTCAGAGTTTCCGTTAATCTGTTTGTCGATTCATGAACATCTGACGTCAGTTGTGACTTTTCGTCTTCAAGTTGAGTTACCTGTGAAAAAATAAATGATTCAGTGACCTGGTAATTATTAAATGATTTATCTATTGTATGATTGAGATCTATTTTCCCAATGAGAAAAACGCAAATTTTGTATTAACAAGAACGTACACTAAGAGTTTACTATACTCAATACTCAAAATTTTCACTACTTCAAGCTCATACATCTGAAACAAATAACTGGCTAACTAATTCCATAACCGACACTGACTGACTGGTAACCGGAAGATTTGTCCTGGTACACCATATGAATAAATTATCTAATGAATTTCTTTCCCACCATATATTCCAAAAATCGGTCAATCAGAAGTAAAAAAGACTCATCCTTGAGCAAAGCCACGAGTGACCACAAAAATAATAGGGCTCCATTCAAATTTAACCGCATGGGGGGCACACTAATAAATTGGGCTATTCACATGCTGTACGATCGAACACCAGTCCATGTCTGGTATGCAAATTGGCAACCCAATATTAGTTTCAGATACCTGGAATTGGTGTTGGAAGCCGTCACCGACCAGGGGTTATGTGAATCACCCTGTGGTGGGAACAGGAGGGGGATGCTTTTGTAGATATCACTGACTTCGAACCTGTGCAGGCTATTCAGAGGTACAAAGCATTTTGCAAACACTTCGCCAATAAAAAACCTTAGTTAATAAATTAGGTTGGCAATGCAAAACCAAAATAATTCCGGTTTTTCAAAATATAGTAGATCCAAGTTTAACAGTGGTTGATTGTGCACTCGTGATGTGCATATAAACATACTTTAATCACACAGAGTATTGTTGAGGCATTACTTATACAGACTCTGTCTTCCCAAAGTAACTTTGAACAGATATACAAAGGCTTGTTCAGAGTGGAACACACATAAAAATACATCAATCTAAATCAGTGGTTCTCAAACAGTGGAATACGCACCACAAGAGGGCTCATATAACTTTTGAGGGGCGTGGTAACTTGACAAATTTTAAAAAGGGGGTGTGGCTTAAAAAAGTTTGAGAACCGCTGATCTAAATCCTGATTCCATAACTTAACACGACATGATACCTTTTCAGCATATGACATCATCTGCGGATGCATTGTCAGCTTGCAAAGAAAAATAAATTTTAAAAGTTCACAAGATTGCTTAATCGATGGGTGGGATGTTAATATTTTTTTCCGTGGAGTGAGAAAAGCCACTGAAACGGCCTAATTATTGAGCTGATATTTTTAGGGAAAGAAAGGACGATAAGATGTCTTAATCACATGGTGTACCAGTGGTTACGTGAACCACCCTACAATGGGGGGGAGTCAAGTTATACTTAATTATCCCCCACAAACTTGCAAACCCATGTATGGTAATCAGCGGTGAGAAGACGAGCGCACACTGTCAAGCTGCATGTCATACTGCGCTGGTGATCAAACAGAGGGGGTTAGTTGAATAATTATTTGTTTCAGAGCAGGAGAGAAGTTCATCAAGTTTTCTATGATTTGCCAAGTTTCAGAGATTTATATTCGACAGGATATCTCACCTTCAGAACTCTTTGTTCCAATTCATAGTTGATGGACTGGAGTTCAGAGTAACTCTGTTGCATTCTGAAAATAAAGAAAGTACAAATAAACCTTTTCACACATTTTGCTGAATTCTTGGCGTTGGGAAAACATTCATTTTTATTTTCTATGAATTAAGGCAGTGGTTGCCAACCGTTTATGGCTCGTAACCCTCTACCGAAGGCTTTTAGCACTCATGGACCCCCTGCTCACCATTCCAGTGGTATTTCTCGTACGAAAATATGAAGAGAACGTAGAATTTTATTATAGGGGAAAATTATACAAACGAAATTCCTTTAAGATAAATTTTGAGCCTGTCAATGTGGCTTCTCTCCAACTGCTCTGTAGCCCCATTGGGCGAACCCTTATTTCATCCCAAATTTTGCTGTTTTAATTTAAAGTGAAGGGAACACCTTTTTTGAAATCGCGGTACCCTTTAGTCATAACATGCTTGTTTGTCTCAGTTTTAAAAATAATTTCAAATTTAAAACAGAGATAATAATAATTAAAAGGGAACACTAGATGGTTCGGGGTCGAATTAAAATTTAATGTATCTTGGGATCCAGCTTCATTATAGTGAGGTGGGCTTGAGCTCTATCGGGCTCTGTGACTCCATCCGCCCCACCCTGGCTGTTACCATACCCCCTCTGAAAATATGAAAATACTCTATGCAGAGTTATAGGCTTTTTTTACTATATCTGGAAAAAATAGAAATATCCTACACAAAGACAAATTTTGAGATCTGTGTTACTATATGTGGTAACCAGACAAAAATTATAACATTTTATTCTTTTATCACAATTCCCCCCTCTGCACCTCACTAAAAATATAACAATATACACAAAGACAAAATCTCACAATTTCAAGGCTTGTGTTGTTCTGTTCAGTTTATCCTGAACCACATCAAGTTGAGTCGCAAAATATTCGCGACTTTGTTCGAATTCCACTTCCATCGTTTCCAGTCTTCGGACAGAGGTTGTTAATTTTTCACGAAGTTCCGAGTTTTCTGCTTCCAGAGCTCTGAAGAAGAAAAGATAAATTGTTCAAAACTGAGTCTTATAAACAAGTAATTTAAAATGATTCGATACATGTCACATAAACAAAATTTGATTCATATTCACATTGAACATTCTATTTCAAAATTTGATTTGAAAGAAATTTATTTGAAATCCGGTAAAATGATGATTGCTATTTTCCGCTCGGTTACATTGAAATCAAATTAACTGACCTGGGATTTTCAAACGCTCTGCCTGCCAGGGAGGCTACAAGCCTACGAAAGCCTTCACTAGGTAAATTAGTTAAATGTCTTGATTTTAATATTCTTTACTTGTGTTTCTTACGTTTTATACTTAAACAAAAACTGTGTGATTTCTATAAAACAGCAGGAGCTGAATGGCCTTGAAAATTTCTGGAAGGGGGGCACTAATCAGGATAGTTTGAGAACCACTGGACTGGACATTGGGAATTTAGTTGACAACATTAGCAAGCAACGAAGCTAATAAGACTTCAGTCCACATCAGCACAAACGCAATCATACTCACACGATTGTCTTGGGCCCATTATACGGTGATTGCTTGGTTGCTAGATATTCCTGTAATAGAGGAATATAATAAGATTGGCTCATTCAAATACAAAGAAATAAGAGTTTTCGAAGCACTTAGATTAGCGGTTTTCAATCTGGGTTCCTTGAGTTTACATTCAAATTCGAAAGTCTACATTATATTGTTTAAATGTAATGAAATACCTACTAGGGTTTCCACTATTATTAAACTTACTACACGAAGATTTTAGATTGCGCAGTACTGGCTTGCCAGACTGGATTCCATGGCAGATGCACACCCGAGGGCGCTAGCACTCCACAAAAATGCACGCGAGCAAATTCAATTTTGCATGCCGAAAATTTGCAATTGCTCACCAATGTAAATCGGTTTAAATAGTTTTTAAATCAATAATCTAGTAATATAAAGATGCCAAAAAATTATAACTCCACAATTATCGACTAATACTAGCTTGCAAGATTTGGCATGATCGAAAAATGCGAAGCAAAAAACCATATCGTGTTGAATGAGAAAGATCGCCTCCTCACCGACGCTGGCCAGTTATGGCTTTGATTCATGGTATTTTTTATACAATAATCTTACACGGATGTACTGAACAGTACCGGTATCTAAAGTCGCACAATCACTCTCAAAATTAGTGACAATAATATAGAAATAATGTTTGGGGTCAAAGGTCAAACGTCCATTTTTGCTATGATTCAACATATTTTGTATCCAATACCGGTAATTTTACGCGGATGTATTGAAAGGTATCTTAGGTCGAAGTCAGTTTCACGCGGGCACAGTTGTTTTGCACGCCGTGAGCTATAATTGCATGCCAGAAATTCGAATTTGCATGCGGGAATTTCTGATTGCACGCCCAATTTCTCGTTCAAAAAGGCCATGAAATCCAGACTGGTGGCTTGTCAATTTTGTCTTGGAAAAGAGGGGTTTGCATTCACTGTTATAATTGATGTCTTTTAATGAAGGGGCTATTTATGGAATTAGTGAACTGTGTCGTACTGCAGTACTGTATGAAAGAGGCCAGACTTTTTCCGCCATGTAAAATTCCAATACCCAAATTTTTTAAACGTCATTTATAGTTTTAGCAAAGTTCCAGAGTTTATGTGTTGGTCTTACTGTGAATTACCTATTCTACAGTTCTATATATCACAGTATCATGGCGTCACCAAATTAATCAATCCTTTTATTTCGGCACTCTGACGTAAAACAGAACAACACAAAAAGTAAACAGACAACAAATGATTTTGAATACTTGAATGCCGTAAATTCATTATTATCTCTGAGAGAGATCTTATTATCATTCTATTCATTCAATTATCTGAATGTTTTACTCACTGATGCTTTTCTATAAGGTCTGTTCACTCGTCTGCCATCTGGAGTTGCCATATTTCAGTATTTTCAAGCTTACATATAGAAAGACAGTTAAACTGGAAAACCCTGTTATCGCGGCAAATTGCCACACGAAATATGTATCCGAATGTCATAGCGAAAAATACCGAACTTTGACCCTACAAAAAATATTGGACACGTTATTGGACACGTTAGTGGGCATAACGATCGTTTTTGGACACGTAGTGGACATAACGATCGTTTCAATATTATGTTGTTGTTGTTCTTGTTGTTCTTGTTGTTGTTCTTGTTCTTTGACACGTTTTTAAAAAGTCGCTTTTCTCTTCGAATACTGGACCAATTGCTTTGAAATTTTCAGTGGTTGAAGATTAATTTTTTCGCTAGAAGGCTATTACTTTTGTTTATTCTTAAATTTTATATGAATCCTATGAGATATGATATTTCATACAAAATTTCGCGGTATTTATTTTTACTCATGGGAACACTGTTTTACACTTATTTCAAGCGGTTTCGCGATCGATTGTCTTGCTCAGTACTACAGCTACACCACTGTGAAGCTAGTAGCAAACCTTCTTCTAATTTTGCGCAGCGGTGCGTTAAATCTCGTTTTTGTGCTCATTGAAGCGCGATATTGCAGTTTTGTGCTTATTGAAGGGCGTTGGTGTAAATCATGGGCGAGTCCTAAATTCCACACTGAGAATAACACTTAGTTTACAGATACAGAAGAAATACATTGCGATAAGCAGTAAATTCAAATATATTTACGGCAACTTGCGAATGAGTGGAGATCATCCCGGCGGTTCGATCGACTTTGGCGTTTCATTTGTTAAATTACATTGGCGAAAAGTTTATATACTCGCCTGATAAAATGGGAACAGGAAAGATCCGTTGACAAAATGTTGGATTACGTATTCATATGTGTTATAAAAAAAATAAAACAAAAATAATGAAACTAGTCTTCCATGTCATCTGCATATGTTTAAGTATTTACTACTAATTAAAAGTTATGATTCTTTTACATGACATTTTGGGGTAATAGTTCTCATGACCGCAAACCTTTATACGGGGGTGTTAGATGGCACTCCAAGGAGAGAAATTATTAATTTCAACCGATCCAATGTTGAGGTCTAAATCATATGACCATCTAGACCAGTGGTTCTTAACCTTTTTTGCATATTTTACCCCTTCATCAAACAGGATTACAAAATTTACCCCTAAAACATCATTAATTAAAAGTTATCAAGTAAAGTATAAAGGGCCCTAACTGTAGACGCGAAGCCTTTTTTTACTCTCTTTTTTAATCCATATTCGCTTCTGTATTGAAAAAAGGACCGGTTTTTACTTAATCATGCTAAGTGCTGTTTTAGTTGGACAGGTTTCATGATACTATTTGAAAAGATTTCCATGCACAGAAGATACGTATACGTAAACTCAAAATCTAAATATTCGTCCTGATCAGGGGCGCAGCCAAGATTTTAAAGAAAGGGGGGAGGGGATCGAAATCTAAAAATCTCATTCACTGTTGAAACAGTGGTCGCGATTACGCGCTCGTTAAAAGAACCGTCTTTCCTCCAATCCCTGAGAATTTCTGTGCTATTTTTAGTAGCATTTTGTTTCAACAACTTTTAGTGTGCTATTTTGGGGACAACATTTAATGGAATGGTTAAAATAACAAAGAACACCACTTAATTGAAGGTGTTGGTTTTCGGTTTCGTTTGAAATATAAGACTACTGTTAATAATACGATAACACTGATTTATCGCAACATAACGAGCCGTGGTTTATGTATGTTCATAATCATTTTTTACAATAACCAAATTTACCCCCAAGAACGAAGAAATTTACCCCCAGGGGTAAATTTACCCCAGGTTAAGAAGTGCTGATCTAGACTTAATTTACTAAACACTAAGATACCGTTGGAAAATCGTCTATGAAAATTTACGCGGTTCCCCATTTGCATGTGCTTATTTTCCTCAAGTGTTAATCCAACAATGAGATGGACAAATGAATGACTTAGAATGCTTCAAAGCCTAGTAAATTATTAAAAAATTTGATTGCCGTACACGAGTTATTACTTCGTATGAAATTGTGTATTGTATGACGTAACAATGGTTGAATTTCATTATTATATCTTGGTTATTTCAGAATTTTCACATGCATTTTGTGGTATATAGGCAGTAATCAGAGCGTAAAGGAGTTATTGTTATTTCAATATGTCTCGATTACGTGAATTCAAAAGTTGGTTTATTTTACGTCGTATGACGTATAATATCCAAGCAGCATGCCCTTCCGCTCAATAGTAGTCAAGTTTCAATATTTAATAGAAAAAAGGGCTAACTGAAGTATTTCTCGCAACTTGGACAAAGCTTTTCGAATTTTAGAATTTAGAGTATTCTCACAGCGAAAATGGATTCATTTGTTAAAATCACATATGTCAAAAAATGGTAAAGATTACCATTTACAAATCCAAGCAGCCAAAAAGAGGGTAAAATTACCATTTTCAAATCCTAATACAAAGCCATTCCGCCCAAGAGGCACGAGATTCAACTATTCAATAATTAAGAGGGTTACCTTAAGTTTTTCATACAACTCGAAACAATCCCTGCAAAATTTTAGAAATTCGAGTATTGTCACAGACAAAATGCCCTTATGTCAAAATACTTATAGCGAAAAAATCTGATTTAGCCAAATTTGAAAGCCTAGCAGCACACTCTTCCGCCCAAGAGGCATCCGATTTGATTATTTATTATTAAAGATGTTTATCTGAAGTTTTTCACACAGTTCGAACCTAAGCCTTGTTTTTATTAGAATCTAGGGTATTATCGAAGCGAAAATGGCCTTATTTGGAAAAATTACTTATAGCGAAAAAAGCTGATTCAATCAAATTTCAAAGCCTAGCAGCACACCCTTCCGCCCAAGAGGCATCCGATTTGATTATTTATTATTAAAGGTGTTTATCTGAAGTTTTTCACACAGTTCGAACCTAAGCCTTGTTTTTATTAGAATCTAGGGTATTATCGAAGCGAAAATGGCCTTATTTGGAAAAATTACTTATAGCGAAAAAAGCTGATTTAGCCAAATTTCAAAGCCTAGCAGCACACCCTTCCGCCCAAGAGGCATCCGATTTGATTATTTATTATTAAAGATGTTTATCTGAAGTTTTTCACACAACTCGAAGCTAAGCCTTATTTTTATTAGAATCTAGGGTATTATCGAAGCGAAAATGGCCCATTTTTGAAAAATTACTTATAGCGGAAAAAGCTGATTCAATCAAATTTCAAAGCCTAGCAGCACACCCTTCCGCCCAAGAGGCATCCGATTTGATTATTTATTATTAAAGAGGTTTATCTGAAGTTTTTCACACAACTCGAACCTAAGCCTTGTTTTTATTAGAATCTAGGGTATTATCGAAGCGAAAATGGCCCATTTTTGAAAAATTACTTATAGCGAAAAAAGCTGATTCAATCAAATTTCAAAGCCTAGCAGCACACCCTTCCGCCCAAGAGGCATCCGATTTGATTATTTATTATTAAAGAGGTTTATCTGAAGTTTTTCACACAACTCGAACCTAAGCCTTGTTTTTATTAGAATCTAGGGTATTATCGAAGCGAAAATGGCCCATTTTTGAAAAATTACGTATAGCGAAAAAAGCTGATTCAATCAAATTTCAAAGCCTAGCAGCACACCCTTCCGCCCAAGAGGCATCCGATTTGATTATTTATTATTAAAGATGTTTATCTGAAGTTTTTCACACAACTCGAACCTAAGCCTTGTTTTTATTAGAATCTAGGGTATTATCGAAGCGAAAATGGCCCATTTTTGAAAAATTACTTATAGCGAAAAAAGCTGATTCAATCAAATTTCAAAGCCTAGCAGCACACCCTTCCGCCCAAGAGGCATCCGATTTGATTATTTATTATTAAAGATGTTTATCTGAAGTTTTTCACACAACTTCGAACCTAAGCCTTGTTTTTATTAGAATCTAGGGTATTATCGAAGCGAAAATGGCCCATTTTTGAAAAATTACGTATAGCGAAAAAAGCTGATTCAATCAAATTTCAAAGCCTAGCAGCACACCCTTCCGCCCAAGAGGCATCCGATTTGATTATTTATTATTAAAGATGTTTATCTGAAGTTTTTCACACAACTCGAACCTAAGCCTTGTTTTTATTAGAATCTAGGGTATTATCGAAGCGAAAATGGCCCATTTTTGAAAAATTACTTATAGCGAAAAAAGCTGATTTAATCAAATTTCAAAGCCTAGCAGCACACCCTTCCGCCCAAGAGGCATCCGATTTGATTATTTATTATTAAAGATGTTTATCTGAAGTTTTTCACACAACTCGAACCTAAGCCTTGTTTTTATTAGAATCTAGGGTATTATCGAAGCGAAAATGGCCCATTTTGGAAAAATTACGTATAGCGAAAAAAGCTGATTTAGCCAAATTTCAAAGCCTAGCAGCACACCCTTCCGCCCAAGAGGCATCCGATTTGATTATTTATTATTAAAGATGTTTATCTGAAGTTTTTCACACAACTCGAACCTAAGCCTTGTTTTTATTAGAATCTAGGGTATTATCGAAGCGAAAATGGCCCATTTTGAAAAATTACGTATAGCGAAAAAAGCTGATTCAACCAAATTTCAAAGCCTAGCAGCACACCCTTCCGCCCAAGAGGCATCCGATTTGATTATTTATTATTAAAGATGTTTATCTGAAGTTTTTCACACAGTTCGAACCTAAGCCTTGTTTTTATTAGAATCTAGGGTATTATCGAAGCGAAAATGGCCCATTTTTGAAAAATTACTTATAGCGAAAAAAGCTGATTCAATCAAATTTCAAAGCCTAGCAGCACACCCTTCCGCCCAAGAGGCATCCGATTTGATTATTTACTATTAAAGATGTTTATCTGAAGTTTTTCACACAGTTCGAACCTAAGCCTTGTTTTATTAGAATCTAGGATATTATCGAAGCGAAAATGGCCTTATTTGGAAAAATTACTTATAGCGAAAAAAGCTGATTCAATCAAATTTCAAAGCCTAGCAGCACACCCTTCCGCCCAAGAGGCATCCGATTTGATTATTTATTATTAAAGGTGTTTATCTGAAGTTTTTCACACAGTTCGAACCTAAGCCTTGTTTTTAT